ACAGACCTTTCCATGGAGCAGTTCCAACAGTTGTATGGCCAGTGGATGGGAGGGCTAGTGTCGACGGAAGAAGTGCAAGCCACACATGGATGTGACGTCGCGGAGATGCTTGAACTGCAATTTGTGGCGGAGCAGGGTGGTTTCCAGTCCAAAGCCTGATGTGTCCGTGCTCGCCTGACCTTGAGGTCTTCCGTAGGCAGAGACAGATTTGCAGGCGGAAAAAGGCGCTAAAAAAAAAAAACCCTCTGCATTGATGGCATTCTGGGGTTATGCTTTCAGGATCAGATTTGCATCGAAGGACACATCCCTGCCGGCCCAGCAGCAAGCGGTGTGCTACTCCTTGAGACGCTTGGCTGCACGCTGGCCACGTTGAGCAGACCTGTCGTTCTGCCCGTCGAACCTTCTACTTTGTGTGACGAATGCCATTATCACCATGTCCGTCCGCGCTCCCGCTGATGTTTCAGCGGCACACTTGTCATGCTGCTGCTGCTGCTGCTGCTGCTGCTGCTGCTGCTGCTGCTTGAGTGGAGAGATTCAACATGCCAAGCACGGCCGATTATGTATGCCGCATGGCATGTGTTGCGTATCTTGCCTGTTCGCGAATGCGCTGGCTCCGAACGCAGAGCTCCACGCCGTAGCTCTCAAGAAGAACAACACTGTTTAGAGGGAACGGTCCTGAAGCCTCTTGCTTTGGCCAGTGCCTTTGTGGGTCACGATCAGGGCTAATGTATTACTACATGCTGTGTGCCATGTGAGTCACAGGGCAGCATTCAAGAGCTGCAGGGGTTAGCCAAGTGAAAATCAATCATGATAGCTTTTGCTTTGTTGATGCATTATGCATTGGTGACTCTTAGGGTTGCTGTTGTTCCCAGTCATATTCAGCTTACACGTCTGCAAATGTTATGTCCCTGTCTGTTCATATTATCATATAGTTGCCTTCGTTCTCGTTGTGACCATTACGATTAATGTGCCGTGCCCTATCTCACTCATCTTTCGCAGCACCATGTCATCATTTCTACAATCCTCGTCCAGGTGATGAAGAAGAGCAGGATGAGGAGCCAGTAGGTTTTGCTCAGGCAGCAGAGTCGAGTGATTGAGTTTGGGGTTTAGGGTTGAGACTTGAGGGTGCGGAAGAGTTTTTTTGACACTTAGTCTCGCGGCCATTGGCCTTGCAAGTTTAAGCATGCTGCTAAGCCCGCATAGCGCCCTTCTAGTAACCCTCAAAAGAGCCTGTTTAAGGGACCATATGTATAAATCTTGACGTCTCCAGACGGCGTCTTTGCCCAGAAGTGCCACGTCATATACCGGTCGGTCCCAGACGGTTCCTTTACGGGAGCACTATGTATGATTTGTTTTATTAGCTGATGACATAAAAAAGTAGGAGTAATGATAATTGTGGTTTCAGGCGCTTGGTCGGAAGTCTTGTCCACATCGGCACAGGTTCTTGGAGCTGTTCAGGCTGTTTCTGAGTTGTTGGCTAAAGGGTCTGTCAAGGAGAGCACAGTGGCAATACACCGACTGATTGGCCTACACTCGCTACACCGTGCTTTGTCAAGATCTGAGCGGAAATCATCATTGTTGGCATCACGGTTCTGTTGTTGCTCACGGTGATACCTGCTATTGTTTGATTAAATTGTTGTGAGAAGGGAGCTTTCACATGCAGTGTTATGTCAACAAAGTTTCGTCGCACTCGCTGGTGCAACTAGGTGGAGTAGGCGGAGTGAAGGAAGCAGCACATATCTTAGGCTGGCCAGCCGAGAACTTTGCACCCATGCACTAGGTTTAGGGTGCAGTACAGGCGCTTTTAAGTGCTCTGCTTGTTTGTGAACAACATAACATTGACGGCCTGTCGTAGTGGCGCAGGGTACCATCTCTTATCGATGCGGTTGTTCGCCTAGTTATGCTACTGTCTTTGCTGTTGATTTGACATGGTGAGTAAGACTATTGTCACGGCTGCTATTGCCTTTCATGTTAACATCAAGCGGTGAATCAAGCGCGTTAAGCTTTTTCCATAATCGCTCCTCTCGGCATCAGTTTTGTTATTTCGCCGCATTAGCTTCTGTTTTTGCGGCGGAATTTCATGGGTAGGCCCAGTTGTTAATACAGAGAGTCGCACCATTGAGTTTAGGAGCCTCAGCCAGCGGGGGTTTCTTCGTTTCTTCGCATGTTATGAGTTATGCATCGCGTGAGCCGGCAGAGACAGGCATGCAATGCCTTTGAAGCTACCGTAGTTGATGTGAGGTTTATGTTATTTCGTTCCAACCTGTTCAGGTTTCCGAATGGCTCCTGCATTCCATTCTGAGGGATATGCAACACCTTTTCGGAGTGGGATTCGTTGAGTGTCTTCCCGTTCCTGGTCACGGAATGAAAACGACGTGAGATTTTGGCAACTATGGGTTTGGGTGTACGATTCGGGGTGTTGGGTTTAGGAAACAGGACTCAAGGTTTTGATTTAGCGTTCTTGGGGGTTGGGTTGCGAAGGCTACTCGGAACTGTTCGTTGCAACTGGCATGATCTGGCTTGCGATGAAGGATTTGGGCGAGACTTTTCCCTGCCTCCTGGTTAAACCCTAAACCCCACACCCCAAACCTGAACCTCATACCCCAAGCCCCGAACCCCAAACCCCAAACCCTAAACCCTAAAACCCTAAACCCTAAACCCTGAACCCCAAACCCCAAACCCTAAACCCTAAAACCCTAAACCCTAGAGAGCGCCGCTGACCATTTGCATGGGCGCTCGAGGCTCCGACCGAGGCCCCCGGCCGAGCGTCTCGACAAGACGGTGAGGGAGGGTAAAGCCTCCCGGTAGACGGGGACGGAAATGACTCGGCTGCGCCTCACACAATACGGACGTCAGACCTGGACAAAAATCGCAATTCCTTTTTTTTGGCCTGTTTTGGGGGGGCCCCCCCCTACCCTGCCCTGCCCTGCCCTGCCCTGCTCTGCCCTGCCCTGCCCTGCCCTGCCCACCCCTGCCCTGCCCTGCCCGGCCCTGCCCCTGCCGCTCCCCCTGCCCTGCGCCTGCCCTGCCCTCCTGCCCTGCCTCCTGCCTCCTTGCCCCTGCGCTGCCTGTCCTTCCTGCCTGCCTTCGCCTGGTTCCTGACCTATTCCTTGCCCTGCCCTACCTTGTTCACACTTCGAGCACCCCTTACAGGGCGCGAGATGCAAGCTGTTTGTTGGAAACCCTTGCTTTACGTCGAGCGGCCGGCACAGGCCGCGAGGACCCACAACCCGACAGAAACCATTTCTGTTGTGATTTCTGGAGAAATATTGTTGTTTACATGTCAAGCTGCGAAAGGAAGCAGAGAGCAAGAAAGCCCCCCTTGAGGGGGTTTGGGGGGTGAACCCTAAACCCTAATTGAGAATAGTTGGGGTGGTTGGGGCGGGACTACATGCTGACGCAAGCGCGCGATTAGTGAGCGCGCCCCTTATTCCTAAAGTAAAAGGCGCACCCACCGCGCGCATACTGTTACAAACCCTGAACCCCAAACCCCAAACCCTAAACCCTAAAATCCTAAACCCTAAACCCTAAACCCTAAACCCTAAAATCCTAAACCCTAAACCCTACACCCTAAACCCCAAGCCCCAAACCCCTTAGCGAAGGAGGATGAGATTTCGGAGGTGGAGGACTTTGTAAGCCTTGGCCTCAGGCCTTGGAGGCCAGAGCTTAGGGGTACTTAGACATAATTTTTAATTTTTGGTTATTAGAATCCCTAAGAAACAGCTAAAATCATTATAATCCCTAAGAAACAGCCAAAATCATTATAATCCCTAAGAAACAGCTAAAATTCTAATTTTTGCTAGGGCTCCAAGTTCAGTATAGAGAGGTTCCCGGGGTTTTGGCCTCAAAGACGGCAAGTCTTCAGAGATTCTAAGATACTCGTATATCCCTTAATTCAGGAATATGTCTTACATCATAGTAGGGATCCTACTATAACTTAAGGTGTATTCCTTAATTAAGGGATAGTGGAGTCTCTGGGGTCTTCAGTTCTTTGCTTGAAAGCGTCTGGGGCTGTTTCGGCTCGGAATTTGGAGGACCGGTTTAGGGTTTAGGGTTTAGGGGCTTAAGCCAATTTCCCTGAAACGCCTTCGCCAGCCAGACTTCGTTCGCCACTTGCTTCGATAAATTCTGGGATCAGCGATCGACGATGACAGCTTCTCTTATTCCAGGCATTTTTGCTTTAAGGTTTAGGGCTCATTAATACAATGAATTTAATGACTTGTGTAGGTGCCCTAAACCGTAAACCCAAAACCCAAAACCCTAAATCCTAAACCCTGAACCCTAAGCCCTAAACCCCTAATCCCCTAAACCCTGAACCCTAAACTAAACCCCACATGGAGGTTTGGGAAAGGAGAGACCAGGGGGCTGTCAGGTTCGAGGACTTGCTTCGCGACCCCAGCTTTCGGAGGTTTCCGGGCTTGAGGTTTAGGGTTTAGGGTTTAGGATTTTAGGGTTTAGGGTTTAGGGTTTAGGGTTTTGGGGTTTAGGGTTTTAGGATTTAGCGTCGTTTTCGGGAGGCGTCCTGGCTCGAGGCAAGGTAGCGGCTAGCTTCTCCAATTTGGAGTTTTCTAGTGCGCTCTTGCCATTCCGGACCCCAGCAGCTTCTGCGCTTGGTGCTGCCCGTGGGAGGGCTCATCGGGGCTTGGTACGCCCCTTTTTCTTTGGGTCACTGCCGTTCAATTGGCTGACCTATTTCTGGAGGCGCTCTCCAGAGTGGTGTTTGGCCACTGGCCAAGCTTTGGGTTGCTGCCTTAACTGAGCCAACCCTCGGGCCGCGCGGCCTTTTATGACTGCCCTGGCGAGGTACCTCCCGATTCTACCGCTTTTATTGCTGGGATTGGGGCTGCTTTGGCTTGGGCACGACAACGGCGCGGAGACGCCCACGCAGTCCCGCTTGGCATCGGCGTCAAAGGCGGGCAAGGCACAAGGCCAGGAAGGCCGTGAGAAAAGGGCGTTTCTCAGCGGCGCAGCAGTTTCTGCTTGCGACCCACCACGGGAGCATGGCTCCCAAGCAAGGAGGGGCTGGCAGTCAGTCATCGCAGAAGGGCGGCTCCGGAAAGGGCAAAGAGAAAGCGGACAACCCGCAGATTACAAAGATCGAATTTGGATTGCCTCCTTCGATGGTTCAATCCTTACAATCGATCGCGACCAGGGCTACACAGGATTTGTGGAGCCAGACTGCCTTTACTGCCGAGAACGCCACCGTCGAACAGTTAGCTCAGCGAAGTGCAAACGCCCTGGGTCGACTGTCGAAGCGGTTGAACGGCAACGTCCGTGCCAAGAAGGACCTCCAGGATGCGCTGCTGGCATGGCTGTCTACAATGGGACAGCATCTTTTGGGCCTTGCCCACCGTGTAGATGCTCTCAGCAGGAAAGTGGACGAGGATACAGTCGCTGCAGTGGAAGAAATGCGCCAAGTCATGGCGGCACAACCCTCCGTGACCACGGAGGAGCAGCTCGACCGTGCGATCCAGTCTTTGGGGCCAGTTTGGTCCGAGGGCCAAGTGGTGGAGGTTCAGCGTTTGGCAGCAGCTCTTCGAGCCTTCTCCACGACCCAGGCCGTGCCTTCGGGGACTCAGGTTCCAGCGCAAGGGCTTGCAGGTGTGCACAGAGGTGGCAACTTTCTAGGGATGCAAGCTGCAGCAGGACCCTCTTCGGATGTCCCTATGCTTTCTGCCCCTCAGCAGCCCGCTGGAGACCTCGCTGCCGACCACAGCTCGGAGATGAGTTTTGGGCCCTCGGTCAACACATCAAGCCAGGTCCCTTCCGGAATGGAAGGCCAGCGAAGTGGCCGATGGCGGAAGCGCAGCGGAGGCAATGTCGACCGGCCCTCCAAAAGCCCGCGTCGGGACATGGAGAGTGCACCGTGGCCTGGAGAAGCCACAGGACGCACCCCCGAAGGCCTCAAACGCGATGCACAGACCGCTGTTGCCGACGACGACCCAGAATTACTGCCGGCCACTGCAACAGCAAGTGCCTGGGTTGTGTCATGGTTGGCTCTCCTTCGCTTCGCTGTGGACAGTGGAGCCGACTTGGTGGGCGAAGTCGGCCGCTGCCCCCAGCAAGACCAGGCCATGCAGCTCACTCTGGATGCTCAGGCGCAGGATGTGGTTCTACGCACTGCCGAATCGGTCTGGACTGCTTTGGAAAATGCGGTGGCGGACCCGGCTCATGCCGACCTGCAATCGCTCTTTCTATCCCTGCAGGGATTTCTGCACAGTGTACGGGGATGCGCCAATGCTCTGCCACAGGTTCGTCAGGGACTGCTGGTGGCCGCGCTCCTGTCCAATGGGAACCTCAGGGACCCGTTTGCATATGCCCCCTCCACTGCTCAAGAATGGTTGTTTCCAGACCTTCTCTTGGAAGCAGGGGTGCCATTGCGCGGGTTTGTGGCAAAGGATGCTTCAATGGATGCACATGTTCAAGTTTTGCTGCGCATGCCCTCGCCTATGAGGCCAGTTGGATCAGACACCTGCCAGAACGAGCTCGAGTGACCTCTGATGATGTCGCGCAGCAATGGCTTTCCGGCACAGCTGTCCCAGCGGGCTGTGGTAACAGGGACTTCGTTTGGTCGAAAGTTTCTCTTACCACGGTCTGCCTTTTCCTCGGGCGCTGTGTGTTACTGTGTATAGCCCTGCGTAGAGTTAGTGTAGTCACGACGCACTTTCTCTCGGCCTACGGTCCCAAGCTTTCTTGGTATCGTGCGTGGCAGCTCGGCAGTACCTGTTCTGCTTCTGCGTGGTGGGTAGCGGCCTCCTTCTGCCAGCCCTACCCTATGGCACTCTGTGCGGTTACTAGTGAGCTTTTGGCCTTCCACCCTGCTTTGGTCCGCACCCTCCGCTGTGTCCTGGAGTGGCTCCCTTGCCGTTGGTGCTCATACCTTGCCGTGCCGGCCGATTTCCTGAGGCAATGTGGCCCTACTTGGGCACACAGACACTGGCAGCATTGCTCCTCATTTGCCTCGGCCTTGATTTGGGCCTGCCATTCCCTAACGTCCTCCTCATGGGAACATGACAATGCCTTGTGTTCGGTTTCCCGACTGGCTGGTCATAAGGTTCAAGGATCACGTTACTGTGTTAAGGCTCGACCTAAAAGGCATGCAGCCCCAGGCCTGCACGTGACGCTGCTGCTGCTGTACTTCTCAGTTGCTGATGGGGCTACTCTTAACCTTGGGGCTGCGGTTGTCTCTTCTTGCTTCATGCATTCCCCTGAAGCTGTGCAGCTTCATGCCCACGGATTTCACGAAGGCCTGCCTGTTCTCAGTACCGGACCTGTCCTCCCCACCCCGACCGTGGAGGAGATGTGCGAGGTCTATCCGGTTGGGCGTACAGGGAACCTGCTTCTTCCACGCGCAGATCGGAACAGAAGGCATCTTTCCGTCTTTGTGGGAACGCCTCCTGGCGCTCCGATCCTGGAACCGTGTCCCATCCCTCTCCTGGTTGATGAATGGTTGCATGGTCCTCTTCTTCACGCCAGGTTGGCAGCTTCGCTGGGCTTCCCCTCGGGGGTGTTCTCTGCTTCTGCCGTCCGGGGAGTCCTCCCAGGGCTGCCAGGTGAGCAAATTCTTCTGACCCCCGTTGCCTGCTCCTGGCGACAAGTGTGGCTGCCTGTGGATCTGCGTCAAATCGGAGGCCGTATCTGTATGCTTCAGTGCCCTCGTGACTCTACTTGCAGAGCCATTGCCCAACTTGCCCTTTCCGCTCAATCTTTGCAAACTGAGGTCGACCTTCTCCTTGCTCGATGCCCGTGGGGCTGGTTGACTCTTGTGTCCCAGCCCCTTTTCTTGCAAGATGTTGACACTCTGCAATTCCAGCTCGGGCCGTCTACGGGAGCACTGGACGGGCCTATAGGGGCCTCACTTGACCCTCCACTGTCATTGTTTTCGACCATGCAGGTCAGTCTGCCCTCCGCTCCACTCAATCAAGAGGCTTTCCCAGGTCACTCACACAACCAGGCCATCCTCATCACCCCGAATGGCCTGGTTTATGTCGAAGCCCCGGTCTTTGCGGACGCAGCCACATTTAGGCGCATAGTCTCGACTCGGGCCTCAGCCAGTGCCACTGGAGGAATCATGCGCATTTGGCATCCCCTCCCTTCCCTGCCACTTGTCCAGTTTCTGGAAATACACTGCGTGGGCGATGAAGTGCCGTGCATTTTGGATTTCCGGCCTGTGGGGTGGCGTCTTACTACGGTGTGTCTTACCCCGCCAGTCACGGCTGTCGCGGCTGTTGCCGCTGCCTCGACCCGAGAACGTAATAGCCTTCCCCTTGAATGGGTTGAACAATGTGCTAGAGGGGGTTTTGGTCTGCTGCACAGGGAGCTGGCTGTTCTCCCTGATCAGGTTATTTCAGGGAGTTTTCCTCTTGTCATCATGTTCTTCCCGCATGTGTTCCGCCAGGACTCATCCTCTTCATCAGAGGAGCAGGTTGGAGGCTGGGATGGCCCGGATACGTCGGACACCATTTCGGCGCTACAGCATACCCTGTTGCCTTCACCTGCCCGCGCTGCCACACTTCCAGCATGCACGGGGATTTCACCTGAGGCTTTTCTGGCTCCCTCAGACTTAAGTCCCCCAGAGCCGGCTGCCGAGCCCAGCTCCGACGGGTCAGCCGCGGTGTCTTCCGCTACGTGGACGCAGCACATCCTGATCGGCCTTTGGTTCCTTCATGACCTTCCGCTCGGCCGCGGGGCATTTTCTGTGTGGAGTTTTACTCCCCTACTCTTGTTAGTATGGTCTAGCACAGCTGTTCAGACCCGTAGTGAGCCCTCTTCTCCTCATGCCTTTGTGGTTGCAGCCTCCAGAGCCCCCGACCGTCATGTTGCTGCCCCTGCGGGGGTCCACGCTCATCTTCAGGCCTCTTGGCTACAAGTTGGGGACTTCGGCGACGGGACGCTGTGGCAGACGCTCCCGCTCTCAGGGGTTAGCTTCTCTATCACTTGCCGGTTGTGGGTACCGGGCTCCTTTGTTCGCATTGAGTTCGCCAACACAGCTAGTGCCAGAGAGTCCTCTGCGGAACTCTATCGTCGAGCTATCCAGCTCGGCCGCCCCCACATCGTTGCTGCATCTGCGGGCCCCACACTCGATGCGGTTCACTTAGTCTCCTTGCCACCCAGGAGCTCTACGCTGACCGTTCTTTTTGATGTTGGGGTTGATATAGTCTGCGTTGAGCTTCCCCTTGATTATTCTGCCGCACAGGTCCTGGCAGCCGCGCAAGGGGCAGCAGGTTCGACCGACATTCAAATCCTTAAGGGTTCGGCCCATAGGCTTAGACAGGGCGACGTTATTCAGGTTGTGGTTAATTCCGCTGCCCAAACTTTTGATGTCTCGGCCTTCACTCTGCCACACAGTGTCCCTTCGGCGTCCCGATGGTTGCATGAGACGCGTGTCGTCTCTCTGCTTCACTCAGGAGAAGGCGTCCTCTCCTTTGAGGTGCCTCGTGCGGCTGATGTCGATTCCGCCCTTCTTCACACCCTTCTGCGGCAGGTCCTGCCTGGGAAGCATATTTTCATTGAGATTCCCGATTCCGGGGCCCTTCCCCATGCCACGTTTGCTGCAGTAAGTTCGGGGCAAGACTGCATCATTTATCGTCTTACTGACGCCTCTGTCCCGACGGCCCCTGGGCTCTTTCTTGCATTTTCTGGAGTATTTGACTCCTTTTCTGCCTTCTTGGAGAGTCTCCTCAGCAGTGGGCGGCCCGCCGCCGGGCTCCTCCGCAGCCTACGCACCTTTGGTCTCTGTGTGCTCACCTGGGAATGCACCACCATCCCTACCCGTGACGACTGCCACTTCTGGTATGTCCATGTACAAGCCGATTTCGCGCGGGCGCGCCGCCACGCCGTGCATCTCTTTGGGCACCCCCGCGCCATTCGGCAACCTTCTGTGCTGCCCCCGCCGCGGGCGAGAGCTTTTACACATGTGGGTGTTCAAACCACCGCCCCTTTTATCACGGCTAGCACCCAGGCCGCTGTGTTGCAATCACCCCCGACCTCATGCGGGGCAGGCGTTGTGCCAGATTCTGCGTCTGAGCTTGTTAGCCTGTGGTGTGATTCTTGGCACATTAAATGTATCGTGGCCTGCATTCCAGGTTTCACTGTCTGGGCACTGAGGGAAGGCGGCCGCCTTGTTGGAATGTGCACTCCTGTCCCGACCTGGGAAGCTGTTACTCGAGCACTTTCCCTCTCTCTTTGGGAACTTCCCCAGACCTTCCTCTCCGATAACAATCAGGTCTGGCCGTACCCTCGGGATCTTGCGGACATCACAAGGAAGTGCGTTAGTGTGGGCTACGATTCGCCCGAGGGCGTTTCGCAACTGCTGCGTCACTGCACAGCATCCTATCCCAGCCCACCGCCTTCTCCCCCTGCCTATCCTTCCGCTGCACTTGGCTTAGCTTGGTTTAGTAAGGGTAAGCCTTGGCTGGGGTTTCTACTCTTTGCTATGCAAGCGGGATCTGTGCAGCTCGCGATCACGTCAACTGCCCTCACTTCACGAGTGGGAGCCGATGATCCTCTGCTTCCTCGGCGAGACTTCACGCGGACCTGCACCCTCTCCTGGACACATGAGCTAGGGCGCCAGACTTATGGCTTTGCTGTTGCCGCCCCTCAACTCGGCGCCTATGTGGAATGCACCTCGCCGTGGCCTGAGGTTCAAATCCATCTGTGGTTGCCGGGCCAAGGTCCGGTTCACATGCGAGTCGGTGCCCGCCACATGGACATGCACCTCAGTGCCTATTTGGGTGCTTTCTTGCCCGATTGCGAATACGGTCTTCATGTTGCGTACGACTCCAACCCTCAGGTCCTAGACCTGGTCGTCGCGCCTCCTTCTCCTGTGGCGTGGTGGATCCTGAGGGACTCTATCGGGTGCGAGTTGCTCCGGCCGGTCATCCAGCACTACACTTCGCACTGCTCCTTCTTCTTCTGCACAGTTGAGCCCGATGGCGTTGTTCTTAGTGTTGAGCCCTCAGCCGAAGTCCGACAAATGTCTCCGAGCCCGCATGGAGCTAGAGCTTTGATCTCGCGTGCCCTGCCCGGCCTCATTGGTCAGGTGATCGATGGCACGCTGCTGATTGTTGCAGCTAAAGCAGGGCCTTCGGTTCCTGGTTGCCTGGCAGTGCTCTTGTTCACCTATCATGCGGCTGCGATGCAGCCACCGCAGGCGCATCAATTAGTACCGGTCGCTGAGGTTGCTCCCACACCGTCCACCATTCGCATCTGGACCTTAAATGTGCCGCAGCCAGTCGACCTGCCTTGGCGTCCGCAAGGGTATCAGACCCGCTGGCTCCGTGAGTTGATGTGCCGTCTCCACCATATTCCGGATCCGGGGGAGTTCCGTTCCACTCACTCCCAGCAGGGGGGTACTGTTCAGCATGTTCTTTTTGTGCCTGTCGTGCCTCCAACCCTTCCTACGGCCAGGTTCTGGCTCCTCCATTGGGGCGCCGCGGCGGTCGTTACCTTCGGCCACTCGCCCTTTAATTGGGAGGTTGTTTCCGCTCACCTCCGCACTCTGTTTCAAGGTGGCCAACTGCCGGAGCGGTGCCCAACACTTGCCTATGCTGGCCAGTTTTATGCCCCTGGCACAGTTCTGCCGGATTTCCCCTCGGATGCTTTTATCCAGATTTTAGTTGGGGCCCTGGAGCGGCTACCTGGGGACGATGACCCCTGGAACCCGGAGCCTTTTGTTGTCGAAAGCCCTTACTTTCGTCATATCCCCAGTCGTGGTCCTGCGCTTGAACCGGCCATTGTTCTGGATGGTCATGGCCACAGGTTGGCTGCTGGAACTCTGCAAACTCCTCTGGTCGATCAAGGTGTTCAAACAGACCTTTCCGGCAATGGCACTGGCCTTGATCATGCCACTGTCTCCAGGGTGCATCACCTCTCCCAGGAGCTCTCGTTCCACACTGCTCGGCTCTGGGCCGGCCTCGCCGAACCTGATGCCGAGCCGGCAGGCGATAACCCACCGGTCCTGAGACTCTCCTCCCAGAGTGCATGCGCGGCTGATACCTCTACGGCCGATCTTTTGGATCTCAGCGATGCATCAGGTTCTCAGGCTATGTGCGGACTGCCGTGGGTAGCTTTGCTGCTTCTCGGCGTTCAGGTACCTCGCACCCTTGGGGCGGTTGGGAGTCTCCTTGCCCTTGCTACCCTCAACTCGGGGTCAATCATTAGGCTAGCTCTGAGGAAGAGCAGGTTAATGATACTGCCCCTCCGGCTGTGCAGGCCATTAATATGTCAGCGGCGGACTGGGCCCCCGCACCCGTTGTGCGACCAGCCGGCCCTCCCCCGCCAGAACCGGTGAATGCTCCCTTCCAACCTCACATGCTGTTTCTTCGCGCGGCGAGGCCACTTGAGGATTATGCCTTGAGACAATGGCCCTCAACGGTCGATAGGGAACCTGCAGCCGATGAAGACACGGTGCGCAGAGTCCAGGCTGACCTCCAAGGCCTTCGGTGCGGGATCCGAACACTTGCAGCCGCGATCCCACTTGGCACGCCCTTTTGCATCCATAACCCGTTTACAGCACGGCAGCAGTGTGAGATTGTCGAGTACTCAGCGGGCCCTGAAATTAACCCCTTCGTCCTCTTCGCGGGTCATGCTAGAGGCCGCGGCTGGGCAGGTTTGGTGCTCCTCCAGCCCCAGCCCGATGCCAGAGCAGTTCATCTCATTGGCTGCCCTCAGGCGCCCGGTAACGTAGCCGTAGGGGTTGCTATTGAGCACCGCTTAATTCCCTGCTGCCTCCCCGCGACTGTTGATATCGCTGCCCTCAGGGCCCTGCGCTTGGATGGCACTGAATATGACCTTCGGCCGCCTGAGGTCCAGGAAGGTACTCAGGTTGTCCAGTTTAGGAACGGCGATTGCCTCTCAGCTAGGCGGCATGTTCCCCATCGGTCCCACCAAGGCCAAGCTAGCAGGGACCCTACTGCTGCCAGAGGAACGGTGAGTGCGGGCGAGCGAGATGGCAGCCCCGCTGACGAATCCTCAGCCATCGCTGCTTCACCACCTCTCTGGGTCCCTCTTTTACTCGTGCTGGTTCTTCGCAGCCGTCCTGGCTCTGCCTGGCTTGTTGCCGCCATTCTACCCAGCTTGGTCCAGAGTATGCACAGACCTGGAGGTTTCCCATGGGGGACCGACTCGGTGAACCGTGTATTCTCAGGGATAACTGCCGAGGATCCAGTTTACGTAGTCCTGCATAGTCCCTTCTTAGGGGTTTTCCCTCCCTACACGGCATCTCAGGAGACTCCCCACTCGCAAGTCTGGGCGCAGTTCCGCAATGATGACCCGGGTTGGGCTGAAGACTTCTTCCCCGTTTGGCCGGGGCCGGCATTCAATGAACTGTCCATCGTCCCGATTGGACGTGATCCAGCACTGGTCACATTGATGCTCATCTGGCGGGGCCACCACCGGGCCACAATTGTTCCCCGCACGATGACCGTGGACTGGATTACGTCCTTCACGGCCAGACATATCAACAGTGCTGTCGGGGGTGTGTCTCTTCCCCACGGGCTTGCCGTCTGCGAACTTTTTGATGTTCCACCTGCCGCGTTTAGGTTCCGCAACGGGGACGTCGTGTATGTACATGATCCACCGGATGACCCCGATGAGCCACTTGAACTAGTGGAGCCCTGGCATCTACAGGATGGCCTGGCCGCACATCACGCCCCTTGGGCGGTCGGATTTCAGCTTATGTTCCCGATTTCAGTCCACTTGCTGCGACCTGAAAAACCGCCCTTGCTCACCACCATACCGGCTGGCGAATCTTGGTGCCCTGAAGCGTTCTCCTTTTCAGGTGAGTTCCAGCACCATTTTCCGGGCATGTGGACACCTGTCCAATGGACGAGTGCCCGCGCCCTGCAGCTTATGGAGGTCAACGGGGTTGCTGCCCGAGTCAATGTTGTCGCGGCCACGCCAGAGGGCCGACTATGCCGTACTGTCGATCGCATTGCCTCCCGGCACAGCGTTGCTGACCAGCTCCACTTCTGCCCAGATTCGATACAGGTTGGCGGCGTGCCTGCCTATGCCTTGGAACAGGCCTGCGAACTCAGGAACGGTGATGTGGTGTTTGGGGCATTTGACCGGAGTGCATGCCCTCGTGGCCCAGGCTCACCGAGCTGGTGGCTCGGTGTGGCCCTCTCAGCCTTGCATCTGAACCAGCAGCGGCAGATGCGACTGCCTCTCCTTGTGGGTTGTACCCTTTCCTATTACGCCGGTCTCAGAGGCCAACATGCCATTACTCCTTTTCACGAGCCTCACACTGCCGCTGCACCTAGCTGCCAGACCCTAGTCGGAGGGTCCTTCTGCTCTGCCGATGAGGATCCTCCCTGGAGTGGCATTGACCTGGGCTACACCCCATCTGCCATGGGGGGCCCGCAGTCTTGGTGGCGGGGCTCTCTTTGCCGCCCCATCCTTCCTGGTGTCTCGGCCGCCCTCCTGTTTTCCGGCCTACGAGGCATGGCCCTTCTGACTGCCACCGCGTGTATCCCTGCTTCTAGAGCCATGCTTCAACAAGCGTCCGCCTCGTCAGCCACCGTCCCGGCTGCTGCAGCTCCTCGCGTCACTGTTACGGTTGCTAACCCTTTTGCCCCTTGGAATCGGGTTGAAGCTGACCCGCGCAACCTCTTCGACGATGTCGTCGCTGATGCGCATCACACTTTAGCATCTTGGCATCAGGGTTTTGCGGCTACGGGACTTGTCTTGGACAGCACCCAGGTTGTTGTTCCCTTACCCGGGCGTCGTCTGGTCTGCTTGTTGGTGCAAGGCATGGGTCAGCTGCTGTGCGTTATCCTGCCAGCCTTCATGACCCCGCGGGATCTTACGCAAGCCATTCAAATGCGACTTGGCAAACGAGTCTGCGTCAGCCTGTCACCTGGACTGGCGGCTACTGTCCGTGCCAGCCGTCCGGTCCTTGCTCTGAGATCTGGGGATATTATTGCTATCAGCCCACTTCGACCCACTTGCCGGGCCGCGGAACCCACCTGTCTTTCTAACATGGGGGGCTGCCCATTCTGCGGCTGCGTGGCACTCAGACTTTCTCGTTGCTCAGGCCTCCTGTGTCCTTCTGTGGTCACCGGGCCGCCCTACTCGAGTCGCCCTTCTAAGGCATCAAGCCCGATGGATCGCCGCTGCTGCCACGGTGCATAACCATGAACAGGAGCTTGGAACCCACCGCTGGGCGCCTTGCCATGGTCACCTCGGCGCGCCTCCTTGGCTCGTTGAACAGTCTGAAGTGGCAGGCCGCGCTAATATTATCCAGTCCTGCGACTCCACTCGTTGCATTGAAGTGGAGCGCGACGCTTCTCATGACCTTCACATCTCAGGTTATACAGTCCGTCCTGCTTCAAGCCACGCCTGTCGCACTGCCACTGTGCGCGACGGCGACTGGTGGGTCCACTCAGCGGCCGTTGGGCTGCTCGGGCGCCATCTCTCCTTCCCGGCACAGCTTGCCTGGCTTCTCTACAGCCTTGCCGCCCATGCCTGGGCTGGTTCTTCGAGCTGCCCAAGTGTTGACTCCTCCGAGGCTCGAACCATCCGCACCCGCCGGCGACCCAGCCGTAGTCGCTCACCGGGTTCACAGTGGCCGGGACGGTTCTTCCCTCCTCGAGTAGACCTTAATGATGGTGAGCCCTACGTTCCGCAGAGTGGCTGGCGACCTGACGCCCCAGACGGCCCACTCGCACGCTACTTTCCGGGGCCTCGGCCGCAGACTGCCAGAGTCCTTTGCCCCCTGCGGGGTTGGAGCGAGCTCTTGTTCATTAATCTGGCCGGCACCTGGCGGGAAGTTGAGCATGAAGGTGCTCGGCACTGCGGTCTCTGGTCGCGCAGGTTCTTTCCGGTGCGTGCTGTGCTCCCCGTCTCGCAGCTCACTCTCGCTCCTGTGGCCCCCTATGGCCTCGCTACAGTTGTCTTTCACATGGAAAGTTGCTCAGCCGTGGCTTTAGCGTCTGTTGACTCCAGTTTGGTTGACCTCCAGCGGCTCGCCGCTCGGGTATTCACGCACGCTCGCTACTGGCGAGTGGTTGCGCCACCTGTGTTACGCGCGGCCAACCCGCACACCCATCTCAGGTTGCGTAATGGTGACGCCTTTAGTATTGTTCCTGAACAATCTCAGCCAGAGGCCACCCGCTTCCCTCTGCTGCAGTATCCCTCCCTCGAGCGGGCCCGACAAGTTGCCAGCTGGTCTCTTCCTTTTCGGTTTGACTCTGGTGGGCCAGTAGTTCTCTGGTTTTCTAATCGCCGGCAAGGGCACTACATAAGGATTAGGGATACGGGCTACTGGGACCCTGAAGGCCCCACCTTTTGGAGCCTTAACGGGGAGGCTTTGTCAGGTTCATGGGTCCCGGTTCTAACGGGTGACCTGTCGAGTCTTCACTTGGTGCACCAAGCTTCCGTTGGTGAGGCGCACGTTCTCTTCCTTCTGCCGCCGGACCTCATGCCACAGGGCCGGCGGCTCGCGGGCTGCAATGCTTATCGTGCCCCTCCAGGGTGGCGACTTCTGCCCGCTCTGCAATATGTTCGCGCTGACAGCCCTCTTCGAGACGGCGATGTGCTAGTCATCGACCCAGACGCCAGCGTGGTGTGGGACCCCTTCGGCCCTCTTCCCTCGGTGGCCGCAGAGGAGTCTCATTATGATTGGCCCTCCTGCTCGTCGCCTTCTGGGATACGAGGGGCCGGTTGGCTTGCCTTTCTTGCGGCCGCTGCTCGATGGCCCCGTTGGCTTACTCTCGCTCTCCTTTCTCATTGCGTGTGTGGCATGGTCCCGGTCCTGGAGGTGCCGGATAGGCCCATTCGCACAGGCCTGTACCCATGGCGAGCCAAGTCCGGTGAGGAGGATCTTGTCGACCTCTCTCCTGGCACTGAGATTGACGTTGTGTATCTCAGCCCTTTCACTGGTCCGCGGGAAGCTGGACGTCTCCCCACTGTGTCCACACTTGAGGATCTGAGCTCGCTTGCGCGGGCGTGCGACCCTGAATGGGCTGCTGATGTTGCGCCGGTGTGGCCCACAGCGGCCATCCCTGCCCTGCTTGTTGTGCCCCGGCCCCTCTCTCTCGATATGGTGTGTCTCGCCATATCGTCCTTGGATCAACACTTTTCCATCCTGACTCCGTGTGTCACTTCAGTGTCATGGCTCAGTTTTGCTCTACGTTTTCTGCAGCCTATGCAGACCCTGTCCGTGCGAGCTCCCAGCCCTCTCACTGCTGAGGCCACCACGGATCAAAATGTTAGATGGCGCTCAGGGGACCTCGTTGTTGCTCTTCCGCCCGCCGCCTTTGTGCCTGAGTATCAACCGCCCTGCTTCCACTCTGACACTCAAGTGCGTCATTGTGCCATATGGTCGGTTGATTTTTCAGTTTCCTTTAGAGCGAACTTCGTTCTGTGGCAACCGGGCGTCAGGGCCGTTAGGGGACATGCCCCCGCAGGAGCTCGCTGGCAGGCACTCGACTTCACCTTCGAAGGTGAATTTCGCCAACATTACCCCGGTCGCTGGGTGCCCGTCCCCTGGATTGCCCAGGACCACACGCATCTCGTCCTGCTCCCTGAGGACCCATCCCGTGCCAATGTGGTGGTGGAAGCGGATGGTCAATGCTGGTGCGCCTCCATCACTGCTGTCACAGATGCGTGGCAACTGTGGACTGAACTGCCGACTGTTTCCGGTCAACCTCGGGTCCTCGGTGTCTCTCATCACGAGCTCAGGCAGGGTACTACCCTACGCAGTGGCGATGTGGTGTCCGAGGCCTCCGGACGCTTTGCACCTTGGGTCGTTTTCAGTTTGATCGGGGTGTCTGGGTGGCGTACTGCCGGGACTAGCGCTGTTCTCCTCGCTATTGGACTCGCTTTGGGACATCCTGTCTGGGCTACTCGCTATACACTGGCGCTGCCCCGAGCTCCTCTCTGGACCTGTACGCAGAGGGCCCTCTTTCGCCAGACTGTTACCCTACCTGCCATCGGCTGTGGGATCCTGCTTGTGGGGTCCTTGGACCCTTCCGTGGAGTTTCCTTGGAGCCTCCCGTCGCTCTTCGAGATGCTGCTCCCGCATGGTCATCCTTTACCCGGGTTCACCCTCCACAGGACCCTCGACTTGTTGACTGGGTTCCGGTGCCCTCTGACCCGATGTTCGCCACCGTCCTTCTTCAGTGCCCACCTGCCACCCGGGCTGCTTTCCTTCCAGCTACGTGCGCCGCTGCCGATTTGCTCCGAGCCTGCAATCGAATTGTCCGGGACCTGTCTCTCATCTTGGCACCCCCCGAAATTTGGTGTGGGACAGCTACCTCACTGAACCCAACTCTTTTTCTCCGGTCCGGCGACGTTCTCACTCTCGCTGGAGAGACCTGGGCTCCTCGCCTCCGCTCGCCGGCCGGGCGTTACTGGGACACGCTGCTCCAGGCGCGTCACTTCGCCTTCTGGGGAAGCCCTTTCAGCATACGCCAACCTGGGCTCCTGTTTGCCTGGTCACCCGGTGACCCAGTCCCACTCACTGTGCCCACGGTCCGTGACGAACAATGGGACCCCGTGCACTGCACATTTCGGCCCTCCCTTGCCCGTTTCAGTGTCACTCGATGGATTCCTGCACAGCGGCTTGATGACCTCGGTCTTCACCTTGTCCCTGAGAGCCCGAACCTGCACCGTGCGCATGTTCTTCCCGCACAGCCTCCCCTGCGCGTCCAGGTCGTTCCGCGACAAGGGGCGAGTGGCCTGCTGCGTGACGGAGATAGCATCTCTGGCTGTCGACCAACCCCGTCCCTTCTCCTTCCCCACCTTTTAGTTGGGGGTCTGCTCCCGGGATCTCTCCGGCGGCTTTGGCTTGCTGCCCTTGGTCTCGGGCTCCTGGCAAGCTACGGCCCGCCGGCCGTCCCAGCTCACCCGCTCTTTCCCCGTGCAGGGGCCCTCTCAGGAGACTGCCATGCTCCCACGTTTGATTTTGGCCTCCTGTTCCGTACCTGCTGCTATCTCCGCGCTCGGGGCGCGCCTGTTTGGAGCAGCACTGATGGAATCTCGTGGTCGGCCGATGTTCATGAAGAATGCGTCGCCCAGGCGTCCATACACCAACTCTGGTGGTCTCATGAGCTTTACCCGTTTCTTCCCGCATCCGCCCCTCCACCATACCGTCAGGCTTTCTGCAACTTCCCGCTCTGGCACGGTGGAGTGCCTGACCAGGTCTTCATTGCCACTGACGGCAGCGGCGAGCATGGAGGGGCATGGGCCTTTTGTGTGTGGGCCTGGTGGCGCCATCGATGGTACCGCGTCGGTTGGTTTGGGGCCTCTGGCTATCAGCTCCCCTGGACCCCCGACCTGCCGCCCTCGGCAGGCGGCCTCTCCTTCCACACTGAACTCTCGGCCTTACAGGCTGCCGGACTCTGGCTTATTGCCTGGGTTGACCGCCTGTCCCTTCTCACAGCCTCTGCCCCTACCAAGGTTACTGTTGCGGTCGATAACGCTGCGGCACTTCAAATCGCAGCAGGGCAGGCCCAAGCCGCAGCACCTGCCACCACCACCACTCGGTATGTTTGGCAGGCCGTCCAAGCTCGGCTCTCCACACGGTTCCAGCATGTCCATAGCCATGTCGGAGTGCTCCCAAACACCTTCGCGGACTTCCTTGCCGGCTGGTCGGGCCGAGTCTCCTGGCAACCCATGCAAAACGCGGCTCCGTGGCTGTGGGTCATCCCGCATGCTCGTGTCGTTGAGGGTCGGCCGTGTATTTGTTTGGTCTCTCAGACCATTTCATGTGCCCCTGCTACTGAGGCTGGTGACGTGCTCCCTCCTGTCGAAGATACCTTGACATCCACTGAGGCCGCTGTTCCACCGGGCCGTCCACCTGCCGATTCTCCCATCCCTTTGCGCTTGGTCACAGCCAATGTTCAAACGATGCGCGACTCCAACGCTTCATTTTTCAATCCCTCAGGGCATGGTCAGCGGCGCCAGTACCTTTACTCCCAGGTTGCTACCTTAGGCCTCGACGTTGTCTGCCTGCAAGAAACTCGCAGCAAGGGTGGCCGTTGGGACACAGCCGGCCTCCTCACGTGGCGCTCTGGCGCGCAGAAAGGGAGCTATGGTTGTGAAATCTGGATAAGGCCTGGCATTACCAATCCGCCCTTGCGGCTCGATGACTGGCGCATCGCTAGTGCTGACCCTCGTCTTCTCGTTATTGTCAGCAAGCGTGAGGACTTACCTCTTGCTGTCATCGCCGCCCATGCCCCCCACGCTGAGCGGCCTGCTTCTGAGATTCACCACTTTTGGTCTTCGTTGCACTCGTCCCTGTGCCAGCTGCCCCGGGCCCTGTCTCTTGTTCTCGGCCTGGATGCTAACGCTGACCTCCTTTGGGCGGACGAAGACCATGCCTATATAGGCGACTGTCTGGGCAACAGTGAGGAGGGTGCTGGCGAGCAAGGTCTTTTTGACACCATCCAGCGCTTCGGTCTTCTTGCACCAGCTTCTTTCTCCGCCATCCAACAGGGCCCGGGCTGGTCCTGGGAGCATACGGGCGGTACTCGGAAGCGGCTTGACCACCTCCTGCTTCAGGCGGGTCCATGGCAGTGCACCCGAGCCCGGCAACTCCCCGAGCTGGACATTCTCAACGGCCGCAGAGATCATATGCCTCTCCTCGTTGAATGCTGTCTTAAACGACAGGCGACACTGGCCAGACCCCCCGGGGCATCCAATCGAGCTACCGCCCAGCAAGCACAGCTTATTGCTGCTAGCCTTTGGTGCGAGCTCCCATCTCCCGTGCGCAGCATCGCTGAGGTTGGACAGGAGATCAGGGATCTCAAGGCTAGGCACCTCCGCCTCTTGAAGGCCCTCCCGCGAGCTCCTCGGCGGCCTGCCCGCCAGCCCTACATCACTGCTGAGTCTGTCGCCGCCCTGGATGTTGTGCGGCAGGCTCGCGAGCAACTCCCGCGCCTCCGCAATAATGTCGAATGGCAGAAACGGCGCTTTCTTCTACTCGTGTGGCGCTGGAGTTGCGCCAGGGGACGATCCGATACTGTTGTCCCTCGCCCAGACCCCACCGGGCTTCAACATGCCAGGTTGCTGTTACAGGCCTGTAATCTGCACATCCGGGGTCTGCAGCAGAAGGCACACTATCTAGCCCGTTCTGATAAGCTTGCCCATTTCCGCACCCTTACCCTTGCTGCCACCCAGCATTGGGAATCCACAGGCATTCCTTTGGAATCTATCCGGCATCTTCGATGGGCCTCTCGTAAGGCCCATGACCGTCGGGCTGTGCACGCCGCTGGCGGTTTCGACATCGACCGTGAGCTTGAAGCACAATTTCGTGACCAGGAAGGCGCCCGCCTCGTCTCTCCTGCACAGCTCTCACAAACAGCCGAGCAGTGGCTCTCTGTCGATGCCACTCGCTCCCCGTGCCTCGAGGCAGTTCCTTCACTGCTCCAAATGGAGCAAATGTGCATCCGACAGGCACCAGCTAAGGCACCAGGACCTGACGGCCTGCGGAACGAGCTCTGGCGGGAACATGGAGCCCTTGCCGGTCAATGGCTTTGGCCACTCTGCACCCGCATTGCGCTTCAGGGCCGAGAACCCTTCGATTTCAAGAAAGCCATCGTCTGCGTCCTCTACAAAAAGGGCCCGGCATCAGTGCCTGCCAACTACCGTTCCATCGCCCTCCTTAACGGCATCGCTAAGCTGTGGCACTCACACCTCCGCACCACGGTCGGTGGGCATGTGCTGTCTCGTTATGAGCCCATGCAGCTAGGAGGGCGCCGTGGCGTCCACACTGGGTTTGCACTGGCCGCTTTCCGATGCGCCTGGGACCTTTCCGTCGCTGCGGGGCGGTGCGTTGCTGTTGTCTTTGTCGACATCCAAGCCGCTTACTATGAGGCTAGCCGAGATCTTCTTTTCGATGGCTTCCCTGACGATGTCGATGTCCCGGAGCACCATCACCTTGCTGGACTTGTGCTCCAGCTTCATGGTCAGGGGGCTCTCTCCGCTCTTGGCGTTGCTGAGGATGTCAGCGCGCTCCTTCGGGATTGTGTTGCCCTATCCCACTGGTCGCTCTCCGGGTCGGACAACATTTTCCTGGCCTCCCGAGGCTCCCGTCCCGGAGACGGCCTAGCTGACGTCCTGTTCGGCGCCCTATTTGCCATCGGGCTGCAACACATCCAGCGCACTGCTTGCTCCATGGGCATCTCGCACACCAGTGCCGGGGTCGAGATCGGCCTTGAGCCAGGCGTTAAGCCGATTGGCTGGGCTGACGACCTTGCCGTCCTTGCGGACTTTGATAGTCCTGCCGAGCTCCAAACACAGCTCCCCCAACTCACCGGTGTCATTCTTGACACCCTCCGGTGCTTGCGGTTCCGGGTCAACCTTGGGGCAGGCAAAACCGAGGCCCTTGTCGATATTAGGGGAGACGGCGCACGCGCTGCACGCGGCGCCTTGCTCAGCGGCGACGCCCTTTTGGAAGTTTCCAAAGGTGACAGCATTCGCCTTTGCCCTGAGTACAAATACTTGGGTGTAGCCCAATTGCCTCGAGACACCGGCAGGCGTGACTGCGAGCTGTCGGCACAGCGGGGGTCAGCGGCGGCGTCTCTTGCCCGAACCCTGCTTTGCAGCAATTGTCTGCCTTGGGAACTGAAACGAGCCTGGATTACCGGCCGCGTTCTCCCCTCAGCTTACTCCTCCTTGGCCTTCTCGCGCGCTGACTCCGCCCGGGCTGCTGCGCCATTGGCTGGACTCTTTGAACGCACAGCTAGGATCCTGTTGTCATCCTGGCAAGTCGGTCACAAACTTACCACCCCTTTGCTTCGGCTTCTCGCTGATATCACCCCTCCTGACCTTGCTACCACTGTTAGCCAGTGCCGCCTTTGCGTGCAACTTTTCTGCAAGGCTCCTGCGGCTGTCAGGGAAATTGTCGATGCTGCGTGGAACCGGGCAATCCCTTGGTGTCAGGCCCTCGTCCTTGCCTGTTTGCGAGTGGGAGTCGCCTTAGACTCCTGGGACCCCGCCGCTCCCCCCTCCATCACTGTCCTGTTCGTTCAGCAGAACGGACGCGCTCTCCTTCGAGCGTGCAAGGCTCTGAGCAAATTTGGGCACAGGTACGCTGCCTGCGCACAGCTTTGGGCGGATCTGGCCTCCCGTCGCACCACCAAGATCCTAGGTGCGCCACAATCCCACAGTTGCCCGGTCTGTCGAGGAGTTTTCCCGAGCCTTCATGCAGTACGAGCTCACATGCATCGGAAACACGGCGTCCTGTCTGATGTGACTGCCTATATGGCGGGCTCGGTTTGTCTTTGGTGTATGCGAGACTTCCAATCCTCGGATCGACTGAAGCACCACCTTCAAACGCAGCGCTCCTGCCTGCACGGCCTGCGCGTTACAGTCGGCCCTGTCTACCAGTACGGCTCGGGCACAAAACGTTCGGGTCGCGCCAGCCACCGGGGAGTCCCTCCGCAGCGCATCTGCGGGCCTTGCAATGCCACCCCAGCGCAGAGACGGGCGGCCGACCTTGGGGTGCCGGCCGATGATGCTGCCCTGCAAGCTGAGTGGGACGCTGTTCAACGCTCCCCTGCCCTCTCGGACCTTGTCCCCGGCAACCTGCATCGTCCTTCTCCCTTGTCGCCTTCCGACGATGTTTTCGGCGCACAGCAGGCTTGCCATATCTCCGCTGCACGCGGTTCCTCCCCCACGTCCCTTGCCTCCCAGCATTCCCGCTCGGCCACTGTCGATGTGGCCTCTCCTGTGCAACACCCTTTGCAATGGTTCTCCGTTGTGGAAGGGGCTGCTGGCTGTGACGACTGGGCTCTTCCCTCGCCCTGGTGGCCTGGGCTTCTTGGCCTTGGAGGTGTTTTTCAGCTTCCCTCCTCCTGGCACCGGCTCTGGCCTATGTGGTCCGCGCTCGAGTTCTTCGAACCTTGGGAGCATCGGGCCATCCGTCGCTTTGGTGTTCTGCGCTCCGCCTCTTCGTGTGGGTTGGGCGCAACAGCCACCCTTGCTGATGCCACTGCTGGCAAGTGGTCTCTTTTGGAGTTGGCCGCTGCCACGGTATCCTTCCGTATGATCTGCAAGGCTGTCCTCCGCAGCGGTGCCCTCTGGCTTTGGGGGCGCCCCAGCAATTCGGGCCTTGCCCTGCTGCGCCGCTTGCTCCCGGCGGCCTTCTTCTTGGACTTCCTTTCGCCGAGGGGACGGGTCTTCCTTGTCGCTAGCTCTGCTTCCTTGGCCTCCCTTGTGCGTGCAGTCATTGCTCGCCCTGCCTGCTCGGCCCCGGCCTCGCTTCCTTTGCGAGCTTTCTGGGCCTATCCGGCAGCATGACTCGCCGCCCCTGTACAGTGTTTTCCTTCCATTTCTGGCCGCGTGACTACAGCAGTCACGCTTTTGGGCCCTTGCACGCTGTAGTTAGCACAGGACGTCCTCTTGCGCGAGTGAGTGAGTGAGAGAGTCGTTTTCGGGTGAGGTTCAGTGTTTGAGGTTTGGGTTTTGGGTTGTTTTCGGGGTGCCGGGTTGGTTAAAGTTTCGCACGTGGGCTGGAGGCTCGCGGTTGGAGCTTACAAGCTCAGAACGCAAGGTGTCACCCTTCGGGATTATTGGCCTTTCAGGGCTTGGGCCTCGAAGTTTACGGCTCTTGACGTAGGATGTCCGGGTGCAGCACTGAAGAGGGTGTCGGGTTTGCATCGGCTTTGCTTCCTGTGCGGCCGAGGGCTTCATGCTGAAATCCACTCCCTCCGGCCTCAGGACTGGTATAGAAGAAACCTTTAGGGTTTTAGGGGGTTTAGGATGTAGGGTTTAGGCTTTTCGGGGATTTTAGGGTGTAGGGTTTAGGCTTTTAGGGGGTTTAGGGTTTAGGATGTTTGGTTTGGGGTTTAGGGTTCAGGGTTCAGGCTCAAGGGTTTCTTCTACAGTAGAAGCCCAAAGGTTGGAAACCCGATAGCCCCAATCCTCAAGAGTTATGTATGGGGAATCCCAAGCCCTGAACCCCAAACCCCAAACAAACCCAAAAGCCCAAACCCCCAGTCCCTTCAGCAACGATAGCTGGCAGAAGTTGGGTACTGCCCCCCACTCAGTAACAGTTGGATAATATTCATAATATAGATATATTAGGACCTTAATAGTAGCCCTTAAACCCTAAACCCTAAACCCTAAGCCTCAAACGACTGTTACTGTATGGGGGCAGTACCCAAGGCAGAAGTCTTCAGGTGATGCGCGGAAGATCAGGGAGCGTCTCTCGACGATGCTGCCCAGCATAAACAGAGGTTTCCCTGCGAGTTCTTTACTCAGGTTTTTAGAATGGTCCAGACGTTTTTTTTGCGGGCTTTACAAGGTTTCCGCAGCCCATTATGCGGGAATTCTCCTGCGGCTTTTCCATGCCCATGTTTCTGATCCCCAAAGTATAGGATGCTTCTCGAGTGCCCTGGCAAGCACCGACGGTTTCTACATCAGCTTGTCGCAATACCATTTTCCGTTTAGTGCTCTTGTGTTGGGTGTGGGGTTCAGGGTGTTGGTCTTCGGTTTTTTTGCAGCACAAACCTAGCCCTGGCTAAATGCTGCTCAGGGAATAGAATTTTGTGGTGGTTTTAAGGTCCGGGGCCACGTTGTTGATGCATTTGTGGTGAAAGATAGCCTTGCTGCCTTTTTCCTTGGTGTGGCTGCGACGACTTGTACTTCTGCGATGACGTTGGCGACAGCCACGAGTGCGACCACACCGTCAGGGTGAAAGATGGAGAACCAATCTCCCCCGGCACGAGTATGTGACTGAGGTTATCAGACAGAGGTTATCGTTTACCTGTATGTCAGGGAGGTTTTTCGAAAAAGGTTATGTGGGGTATATGATGTCGCCAACCACCAGAACCACCACGACGACGCTGGGACGGCACGGCGCCCCGACTACCGTGATGATGACTAGCTTTAGAGTCTCCTGAGCTCGCTACGGGTTTTTTACATTCTTGATGATGCGGCTTCATCATGTAGGAACATGATTAAGAAGCCCCGGCCCCATTAAGGAACCCACGGTTTCTAGAAGAGCTGAGCCCAATCTTGAAGTCCTCCAACCTCTCAACCCCCAAGCCACAAGCCCCAAACCAAGCTTACCTCCTTGAGCTGCAGCCAGAAGCCAAGTTGTCTCAGACCCTGTGAGCCGCATCCTTAGACCCTAGAGCCGTAATCCCGAAACCGTAAAGCTTCAAAGCCTGAACTCCACAAGCCCTGAAACTCTTCAACTTTAAACCCTAAGCCCATATATAAACCCTGAGCCCCAAAGCCCCCTAAGCCCCAAAGCCCTAAGCCCCAAAGCCCTAGGCCCTAAGTCCCAAAGCACAAAGCTCTAAGCCATAAACACCGCAGCCCTCAACCCTAACCCCAAGGCCCTAAACCTACACCCTAAACCCTTAAGCCGTCAAAGCCTAAACTCCAAACCCGTCAGCCCTAAACCCCCAAAGACCTAAATCCCTCAACCCTAAGCCCCAAAACCCAAAGCCCTAAATCCTAAACCCTAAACCCAAACAACCCCAAACCCAAAACTCCAAAGCCTTAAACACCCTTACTATAGAACCCATCTTATAAGTCCCTTATAGTACCCCCTCTATAGATCCCTTTAAAGGAACCCCAGAGGCTTTGAGCCTGAGCCTGGCTCATGGAGTCGCGAGGTTCGAGCACAACGATCTCATCAACAACCGGATGGCCGTCTTGACAAAGGCAGATAGCCGCTTTAGGGTTTAGGGTACATGTAGGGTGGGATCTAGGATTTAGAGTGGGTTTAGGGTGTAGATGGGTTTGTGCTTGATAGGGTTTTGGGAGCGTTTGTTGGTGTCTTTGGGTTTGGGGTGCGACTGTAGCTACTCTCGGGTTCCAGGTTCAGGGATGTTGTCAGTATCGTCAGACTGCTTCGTCCCTCCTCCTACGTCACCTGTTGATTTTGTGGTGTTGGTCACTCTTGTTATTTGTTTCGAGGAGAAAGGGCGAAGACTTGATGGGGAGGCTTATTATAGTATCCATTATTTTATCCGTGTCGTTCTCTATGCAACACACCCTAAACCCTAAACCTTCAACCCTAAAGCCGAAGCCCTATACCCTAAACCTTCAACCCTAAAGCCGAAGCCCTATACCCTAAACCTTAAACCCTAAAGCCGAAGCCCTATACCCTAAACCTTAAACCCTAAAGCCTAAACCTAAACCCTAAACCTTAAACCCTAAAGCCTAAACCTAAACCCTAAACCTTAAACCCTAAAGCCTAAACCCTAAACCTAAACCCTAAACCTTAAACCCTAAAGCCTAAACCTAAACCCCAGATCCTAAATCCTTCCAGAGCCCCAAGGCTCAGGGCAAGCTGCCACGGCGTATTTATCTGTGAGTTTGTTTCGCCATGGCTCCTGCACCTAAGTCGCATCTTCAGCCGCCAACGCGGGAGGTGCCCGGCAAAAAGTTGAAGTAGAGATTGGATTCTATATATGGCTTCTTTGAGCAATCGCTACGGCCAAGGGTTTTACAGCAGTTCCACAAGGATTCAGCATTTGAGCTTTAGGGTTCATCATTGTCACTGGGGTCGGGCTTTCCTAGCTGCACTGTTGGAACCAGCAAACCAGCACTATGTTTTAGTGATCTAACGCCACTGATGATAGCTGAAACGCTAGTTGCTACTTCTCTTCCTGCTGATATGGACTAGTCCCGCCGAGCAGGACTAGTAGAAAGGACACCAGCGGTTCGAGTATCGCAACCATACCATGGAAAGCCACTCATACGATTGACGTGGCTTTACAACGAGTGTCACCTCCCAATTTGATACTTCAAACGAGTAATCTCAGCAATGCTGCGAAAACTGACATGGCTCGCTGTCGCAAGTGCTGGCCCTATCAGCAGCACTGCTGACAGCGCTACTTTTGCTACGACTGCTGCTCCCGCTGCTGGCGTTCATACCGCGCGACAGAAGTGCACTGATTATGATTTTCCGAGCAAAAGATTATGATGAAAAAGTTCGATATTGCAATACATTGTAATCACACTTCGTGTTCCCGCGTGGCGTAGTCTGGTAGTGAACAAGATGTGGGGGGCTTGCTCCAAATGCTGGCCTGCGGGAAGTTTGCTTGACCCAAACTCTTCGAAGCCTGTATGCCTTGTGGAACAGATAACAGTTCTCGAAACCCCACTCTTCAAGTGCAAATACCAAACTCTAAACTCAAGGCATAGGCCGCCCACCTCCGTGGGTGGGCGGCGCTTCAGCCCCTCGACCTCGATGGTGCAGAGCGACCCAATACGCCTGCCCGTCTGGGCCCCCTTGGCCCCTTGCCTTCTGCCCTGTTGTGCCCGCCCTGCTCCCTGCTCCCTGCTCCCTGCTCCCTGCTCCCTGCACTGCACGGCGTGGGGTGGGAGAGTTAACAGAAAGAGCCATCCACAAGCAGGCTCCAACGGCCAATCGTCAGAAGACGACGCACTCGAAATTACACTGTCGCAAGATACTTCCGCTTATGCGCCACTTTACGGCAAACCCTAGACCCTAAACCCTAAACCCTAGACCCTAAACCCTAGGCCCGAAACCCTAAACCCTAAAACCCTTAAACCCTAAACCCTTAAACCCTAAACCCTGAACCCTAAACCCTAAACCCTAAACCCTAGGCCCGAAACCCTAAACCCTAAACCCTTATAGATCCCTTACAGGAACCCTTATGGTATCTTATGGTACCCTTTAAAGGAACCCTAAGGGTCCCCGAAACCCTAAGCCCTAAACCCCCAAAGAAGGACGCGCACTGCGGGGAAGTATCAGAGTCGCTCGCATCCTTCGCCTCGGTGCCGACATCTGCCGCCTCGGCTGTTGCTGGGTTCTTGTTAAGGGGTTTAGGGTTTAGGGTTTGGGGTTTAGGGTTTGGGGTTTAGGGTTTAGGGTTTAGGGTTTAAGATACCATAGGTTTAGGGTTTAGGGTTTAGGGTTTAAGATACCATAGGTTTAGGGTTTAGGATTTAAGATACCATGGGTTTAGGGTTTAGGGTTTAATTAAGATACCATAGGTTTAGGGTTTAGGGTCTAGGGTTTTAGGGGGAATCTACATTAAGTAATATGGCTTCCTTATTACGGCGACTTAGTTTAGATCCCTCAGGTTAGCCTACGGGGTGTGCCGCTGGAGGAGGGCTTCGACATCAAGGCAGGGGGTGTGGGGTTTAGGGCTTTAGGGTTCCTTTTAAAGGGATCTATAAGGGTTCCTACAAGGGACCTATAAGGGTTGGGGTTGGGGTTTAGGGCTTACGGTTTACGGTTTAAGGTTGAAAACCTGACATGTCAGGGCGGTTTCGGGTTTAGGGCCGAGAATTTGGATGTTTGGGGTTTCTTCCGCATCGCCAGAGCGTCCCGATTCGTACAAGCTACAGTCCTCCTAAACCCCTAACCCTGTTCGTTGTCAAAAAGCATGGGTTTTGAAGACATCTGGTCCTTGCCTCTGTCGGGCAGTCGTCGGACTTTTGTGGGACATTGAGTTGCTTTTCATTTTCATCGATGTTGACTGGAAACCGATGGAAACCCATGAGATATGGAGCTGGGGCCGACAATTTGACCTCTTCCTGCCCTTGGCGGAGCCTATCAAAGGCTTGTTCATTGCCAATGCCTTTTCAGCTTTGGGACTTGAGTTGTGTTTCGCACCTCTGACCTCTTGCTTTACTTGCCCCACCAGGGTGTCCTAAACCATTAACCCCGTATAGCCGAACCGGGCCACACACGAATCGTACTCACGATTTTGGCTTCCCGTTTTGGGTTTGGGGCTATGACTTGGTTTGGTTCTTGACCTGGATTTGGGTCTGCGATTCTGCGCTGGTTCTTCTCCCATGTTGAGTACAAGTGTGGTTTTTGCAATTGACATCTCTGATGATGAATTTGCCTTGAAACACACCGTTTTCGAGGCGAAGCCCGGAAATCGACTTGTGGCACTATGTCGTCTCTACGGTTTTGGACTTTGCACTTCGCTTTTTTTTGTTGTGCGAGCTTTGTTTTTCGTCTTTCTGTTCTGCCAGCATTGGGTGTGGACTTGTTTAGGATCTCCTCGCATAGGTTTGGATTTGAAAACCTTGCAATCTCCACCCCTGGCACTTTGTAGCCTTTTCCAGCCGGGTAAAGCCCTGAACCTCGAACTCTTAACCTCAAAATCCTCAAACCTCAGATCCCAAACCCCACAACCGCGTCCCAAAACCCTACACCAAAAGACACCAGACCCGGAACACTACCAATGCTCGAAACCCTAAACTTTATAAATCCTAATCGCACGAAAACAAGAACCCTCAACCCCGGACTCAAGCAAACCCTAAACCCGGAACCTACCCAGTGCCCCTTGGTGCGTTCCAACTGACGAGGCAACCCTCGGCGAGGGGCGGTATGGGACCGTCTCTGAGGTGGGAGGGTTTGGGGTTCGAGAGTTTAGGGTTTAGGGGGGCTTTGTTTTTTGTCTCGAGTTTTCAGGTTTTGGGGATTTTGGGTTTCAAGGCGTCGATTTCGGAGTTTCGGGTTTGAGGTTTGGATTTGCGACTTGGGGTGTCTATGAGTGGGTTGGGGTGGTCCAGATGCTGGGTATAGCGGTTTCGGGTTCATTTAGGGATCTGGACAAGTCACAATATTATTTTGCGGTTCCTTCTTATAGTCATAGCATACTATACCACACCACCGTATTGTAGACTATGAATGCACCTAGAGTAGCAGTTTCGGGTTACTGTATACTGTTGCGGGTTTGGGTGTGTGTTTAGGTGCTTTAGAGCCTCGAACCACAAGCCCCAAAGCGCATAGGACACCACTGCCAGGGCATGAGGCATTGACAACAAGCACTTGCACAACTCTTTAATTACAACTCCCCTGTTCTCATCATATTCATATTTACACTTCTACTCATGGTCATCATGGCGACAGAGCCATTGAAGAAGCAGCTGGATAGCTGCAAGCATATAAGAGTGCTGTTCCTACTGAAGGCCCCCATCAGGAGTGTTTTAGAACAGTAGAAGAAGTTAGTTTAGAGGCCACTCTTATCCACCCCGAACAGCTCCGCAGATCGTACTTCCTACTGTGCTTGACACGAAGAGTCCAAAAGGTTTGGACAGCCGACCCGTGCTGCTGTAGGGGCCTAAGTAATGACCGAAATCGGGTTCCTTTTTCTTCCAAATATACTAAAAGGAGGCCCAGAGAGCCTCCGAAACCCCTAAACCCCTAAACCCTAAACCCCGAAACCTCCAAACCCTAAAACCCTAAACGCCGAAAACCCTAAGCCCTTCATAGAGCCCTTATAGGTCCCTTAAAGGAACCCCTAAGCCCCGAAAACCCCTAAACTCTAAACCCCTAAAGCCCTAAGCCCCTCATAGAACCCTTATAGGTCCCTTGTAGGAACCTTTACAGATCCCTTTATAAAAGGAACCCTAAACCCCGACCCCGACCCGCTCTAGGTCGTGCGCAAGGGTAGCAAGGAGCGCTACGCGGTGAAGGCGGGGTCGACGACGGGGGACTTTTCGAGTGGAGGGCTATAGGGGTTAGGCTTTAGGGTTCAGGGGTTTAGGGTTTAGGGGTTTAATTACGGGTTTAGGGGTTTAGGGTTTAGGCTTTAGGGGTTGGGCTTTAGGGTCTGGTTTAGGGTTTAGGTTTTAGGGGTTTAGGGGTTTAGAGCCTAGGGATTTCGGGTTTAGGGTGTAGCCTTGGTCTGCTGAAAGCTTCGTGTGCAGAAATGCCCACCCCAAGACCA